TGGAATAAGAACATCCGACTGACAACAATCATTCACTTGACTCTGATGATGACTTCCGCACAGGTTGTCGAAACGTCAGTCACTACCACCGACAACAGTCCTTCTCAGGACTACACTCACCCGGACGATCAGACTACACCTTCACATTTCAACTTTGTTGATATATCCAAATTATTTCGTTACTCCCACCGACGCAGCCCCAAACAGTTTCTTTAGAAACTATCAGCCTTTATTCATTTGTACTATGACTTCTGATTTGTATTTAATGGATCTATATGATTACTGCGGTAGAAACATTTGAATTTGAGAGTTAGGCCACAAAGTGAAAAAAAAAAACAGTTTGACGATGAGCTTAGCACGCTCATCGTCAACTGTAATTTTACTCCCCTTGCTCACGTGTGTGACGTAGCGCAGTGGGTTGGATGGCAGAAAGTTTCAGCTCTTTAGAATTATGCTTATACTGCCTGTGTACGTTTCATGAGTAGCTGTGTTAACACAAACTTAGGAAAGACCAGGCCAAGGTTTTTCAGAGGGTGGATTGCACCAACCACTGCATAAATCTCTATCCGTTTGATAGCGCATCACGTTTTGTTAACACCTATCCGCAGGATAGCAATTTATCCATTCCATAGAGTTATCTGCCCTTTTAACAACTGAGCCCAGGAAGTATAATTCGAATAGTCCCTCTCCGTTGAGCGAGCGAGGAAACAAAACAAAACAAAGCGAAGGAAGATATACTGAGTCACTTGAAAATGAGAAGGGAGATATCCTTATCGCACGCAAGTCTCGTAACAACGATGAGACCCCGGGAACGAGGTTGAGAAAGTCGGACAATTTTTAGACTTTTTCACAACGTGAGATGCGTACAAAACAACAACAACAACTGAAAACACTTCCACTCCTAGTCCGGTCCCAAGCAAGTGTGGTTACTTTATTAGCCGGACAACTAGCCACAAGTACTGATAGTGTTTGGTCCACCTCAGCAACGACACTTTACAATTCTCCTGAAACACGAACACGAACCCTAAAATATTGATCACCTGCTACAAAAATAGTTGCTATTGAATTACAATGGTGGAATGGACTATTCGCAAAGAAAATAAAACGATAGTTCAGTTTCTTATCAAAATATTTCTTACACGTGATGACTGGGTGGCGAGTATGCAAATTTGCCAGGTTAACTAAAAACAATTTTCTCTCAAACAATATGAAAGTATCCTCCAAATGTTTTGACAACAAAACCTATTATTTCCCGCTAGAAGTCACGAATGCACGCATTCCTCGAATGTACCAAATCCAAGCATTAGATTTCATAGTTCTTTGTCCGTTTTCTTATTTTTCTACCAGCCAGGAAATTGCAAAGCCTTCCGAAACTACGACAAAGAAGTATTTTGAAGAACATAAACCTTTTGTTGTGAAAAACCGTAGGCATTCTCTTTCCCTGACTCGTTCAAAGTGACTAATGTGAAAGTCTTGCGATTTGAAAATTCCCCGGCACAAATGGAACCCAAACATTCAAATGTATAATAACTGGAAACGAACACAAGCAACATTTCCATTTCAATTTTCCGCAAAACCCAGTTTTGGATCATATTACGTCATACAGTCCCCACTATCATTAAGCAATAATCGTCCACAGTAGTCCTGATTGAACCGTGCAAATGACGATGGCAACTGCAAAACTTCACACGATCCAACATGGTTGTGCAAACAAAATTACAATAGGACTTATGCGCGATGACGTCAAAACAATTTCTCGCTGGAGATTACAATTTTGGTCCTCTTCGAACAACGTTTACAGAGTTTAACCATTTTTAACACATTGAGCAAAGCTCCATTTCGTTGACTCAATTCAAAAAGGGAACAATTAAGAAAAAGATGGTGTTCTGTCAATTCACCTGGCCCAGTGAATCCAGTGGTTCGGCCACTCTTGTGCAGCTTCCCTTCGGCCTCCAGTCCTAACTTAACTTCACCACTTAGCTTGAGATTTGTATGAATGATTTCAGCTCTTGGCTTCATTCGTAACGTAGCTACCTCGTCTTCCGTCAACAAAGCAACTGCAGCATCTATGTAATGTGGTTGATCGGTCCAGGTCACATCACCAGAGACATCAGCTGTCCTATGACCCTCGGTAATGCATTGTAACCGTATTCAAATTTGTTTTCATGCTCTTTTATTTTCTTTAGATCTTCCAAATCTGTTTCGTTCTAATCGTCACTGTGCTTTTCTTTCTGTTGTTTTAGCTTTTGAAAACGGTCACTGCTCTGTTTGGTCGTCGACGGTAAGTAGGCCTACCGGGATGTCTGTGGCGACGATGTCCCATAACAGCAATCCATACTACTGTAAATGGTATCGTGCTCTGTGTTATCGTGTAATATTCTGCTCATGTTAATAACTTTCATCACGCGTACGATTGCAACCCCAGAATACAAGTATAACTTTTGGAATGATCATCCTCCTATCACACTCACCTGTGTTATCTTTATCCTGTTCCAGCCTTATTCGCTCATAGACTCCTTGCTGTCAGCTTTTCTTTTAACACTAACGGAGACGCTAGGGCGGTGAGGAAAGTCGAGGTGGAAAGGGTTTCCGAATAGCATAGCAGAGCACCCTGGGCCAGATCACGCGAGAAACACGCTTTTTCTGTCTCATATTTCTCCCACGCCTTGCCGTGGGAGAAATATGAGTGGGGCGAGGAGGCAAACGGATAATAATTCTGCCCGGGTTTTGGATTCAGAGTGGAATATCATTGGATTTGCGGATCCTGCAATTGCAGTGGTTTGCGGTTTTCATGGAGTCTTTGCGACATTTTGACATTGAGGTGATGAACATCAAAGGACGACGCAAAGCTCCTTACTTGTCCCTACTTGGAGAACGTCTAGTAGCATGCAGTTAGGGTCTATATCGACTGATTAAATGAACATTCCAGCATCAACATTCTTTGATTTTACATTTGAAGGCAAAAAACTTATAATTGGCTTGGAAATACGGCTTGATGAGGAATATCAGGCCTTCGACTTTTATCAACTTTGTATATTCTTACTTAATTATAATGGATTAAACATTATGCCTGATGCCAAAATTGTACCTGCCAGGATCCCATGCCGGAAAAGTACTTCAGATCCTAGGCTGTCTGGTTTTTAACAATAAATATTTTTTTATTCCATCACGGGGGGCCAAAGGTTTTCTTCCCGGGTAATAAGCACCTAATGGGAGGGGGTTGGGGATATATTGAGATAGAAGGATTCTCATTTTTTTTTTTTAATTCCCAACAGGAGATCGGCTACTATCCCAAGATTGATTTTGTTTTTTTTTTGTTTGTTTGTGAAAAGCCCACACAGCTTTTTTTAAGCGATTATGGGATTTACTAAGGGATGTTTTTGTTTTTCTCTGCTTTGGACCCAAGCCCACGCCCAAGCCAAAACCCTCCCCCCACCCCTACCCCCTTACCTGAGTCTAGTCAAAGACTACTTTAGTATGGGGGGGTCTGGATTGAGTTTATTTCCCGTCAAACATTGCTGAATAAGAAAAACAAACATGGCGACAGTTTGAAGGTTTCGCGGAGGGTTTATCTTTTAACGCTT